TTCCACATATCACTAAAAGCAACTAACCGATCGATTTTTCTGACTTTTATCAGATAATTCCATGGGTCTCGAGAAGGTTTATACCGAAAATTTTGGACCAACGACTTTGCATAGGTAGCATGTTGCCTAGGTTAACAGGAGGACTACTCCCACCTTCTGGAAGTATATCTGGAGCAAAACAATTTAGCTAAAATCGTATTTATAATTCGATCCGCTTAAAATTCGGAAATGGGAGTGTTTTTGGGGTATAAAACTTATTTATAATTCTTTTTACTTGGAACTCTTATTCACGGGATCCATATGCGATTTAAGTAAGTTTTTGGGATGTTTCGTCCAAATGGAAAACTTTCGTCTTCTAAAAATAGACCAGGAAACTGGATTTAGATTTGTTCGAAATACAAATAATTATTTTGGTATGGAAAAAGAGCCGCCGGCGGATTGGAAATAATGAGCATAATTTTAATATAAACATAGATCGTGCAGATGTTCGGTAAGAAGTTTTTTTACATATTCAACTTGAATGTGAATAAGCATAGGTCAGCATTTGGCATACGACGACTCATTGATAATGACATTTTCGTGAAAGACTTTGAGCAACAAATAAAAAAGGTCAATAATGTAGTCAAAACTGAAAAGTTAATTATTTAGGGGTTTTTATGGCTCATAAAAATTGCGAAAATTTACAGAAAGCCACCACAATCTGTTTCCGGGTCTGTTAGTTCTCTCTAGCACCTTTAAAGACGATCCAATATTATCTTTGATCTGTTATGCTACCAAGTATCGTTATAAATTAACTAATATCTAGTTTAAGGCAAATTTTCAGTTGAAGAAAACAGTAAACAAAAGAATTTTTTTTAATAAAACAACAAACAAAAGAATATTAATTTTTTTTAATAAAATTATCAAATATTAACTTGTGAAAACTTTTTGCTGGTGAAGTATTTCATTAGTTTCTACACTGAGCTACTCTAATTTGGCTTATTGATTTATTTGCAAAAATTAAAACCATTTATTGTATTTGTTTAAAAGAATTTTGCAATGCGATGAATATTTTTCAAATGGCAACTTTTCGAACTCACCTGCCTCACACATGCTGTGAGCTTTCAAAAAACTTTGAACGCCTTGTTCTCGGATCCATGTTTTCCGATCCAACTTCGGGTCCCGGGGCTTGATCTGTCCGGCCGATTTATTTTATCTAAAAACGGTTTCAAATTATAGTTAACCTAAGATAAGTATTAATGATTAATTATTTATATTTTTTTAAGTAATTGAAGTAAAAGTAGCAAAAAATTTAACTTTATAAATCAAACAAGCATTATGCAATAGATTTATAGTTAAATTGTCTAAATTGAGCTTAACTACATAGGAAATTTCATGATCATTACGTAATGACAACGACTTTTTGATTTCACGACAAGAAGCTGCAGACTTGAAGTTGATGGGTCATGTTTTTTGAGGCAGAGGCCGACGGAAAGCGTCATATTGGAGCCGTCATTTTGAATTTCGACTATTGTTTTGCCGTTTAAAAATATCAAAAAATAAACAAATTTAAAAGTCAAAAGCGGAAGGTCGTAGGCCTCTTCATTCTCTCACACAAAAATAAAAATTTTGCTTGATTTTCGCCCAAAATCAGGAGAGGGTCCCCTTGGTGACAAAAAATTAAGAAAATATAATTTTGCATATTCAACTGATTTTATATTTTCCATAATTTACCGTGAAAACGCCACTTTTGGAAAAGTTTGAATATTTGTTCATCAATGATTTTAAAATAAGCTGAAGCATCAAGCCGTGCCCCAAAGTACTATGCGAATAACTAAGTTAATTTGTTAACTTTAAATTAAGGAATATATAATTATAGTTTTAACAATTTAACAAAAGAAAAAATCGTGTCAGAGCTGGCTGCCAACTCATCGCTAGCTATTCGATATTTGTATGTTTGTATGTACTTGCACGTTTAAACGAATTAATTTAATTGAAAACGCAAGCCCGTAAATTTATTTGAAATTCACAGCTTTCTGAATACGACTCACAACTAAGGATATTGCTATTGTATGAATGTGTGTGCATGTATATATATATATGTGTGTGTGTGGCCATTTTGCTGGCGTTGCATTTTTATGCTTCAATGGCGTATTTAATTGCTGCGGAAAGCAGTTGGCAAGTACATGGTAATCCTGGCACTTTGCAGGTCAGCCAACGTGCATGAAGGTATGTACATATTTATTGTAGTAAGACATATATATATATGTACATGTGTATGCGTGTACGTGAATTGTTAAGTCCAAAATGCATATAACTAAGCGCAAATGTACATTTCTTACTGTGAGTGAAACTGTTTTATAGATTTTTTTGTTGCTTTTTTATGAGTGTCGCTACCGTTATTCGCAGCTTCACTTTATCGCATACCCATACAAAGAAATACACGTCTTATTCATTTATACATGTATGTACATACATACGTACAAACTCCAATATATCTAAAACCATTGTAGTTGCCTTTACAGTTACTACACTTCCTTTCATTGCTTTCGTGCTGCCATAGAACGGTTATTTTTTTCTTTTTGTTGTAACGGTGAACAATTTTTGCTGATTTATGGTAAACGTAAGAGTATGTGCGGAGAAAATAGTTCCCACATGTGTACTCAATACATGCATACATACATATATAATATATATACATACACGTATATGTATACATACGTAAATATATGTATGTGTTTCTATATGTGGATATGTGTGTGTGCATTGAAAGCACATTTGGTCAGTCGGGCGTGCAAATAGTGAGTTGGTAGTGAGGTCAAACAGATGGTTCTACACTTAGCTGAAACAAACCGAACTGACCTAACGACCGGTTGACCGAGCGACCAAACGAACAAACAGCCGATTGTCAACTCGACAATTGGTCCACACATAAGGCAGCTTCATCGTGCTTCCCAATCCATCGTTCCACCATAGTCGTTTTGTAGAAAGCTTACAATATACTTATATCTATATATATATGTGTGTGTGTTAGCTGCCGTTGTCGTTTGTTGCTGTCAACAGCAGTGTTAGTGCTTTTATTATCCTTTTCCTTAGATGCTATCCCTCGCAGGCTGGCCACTCTTGATTATAATCAACCCTACTCCATTACATAGTACAGTGAGTATCTGTGCAAAAGTCACGAAATATTTATATTTACGTTCGGCATGCTCCACTATAAGAGCCAAACGCAAGCTCGTATTCACTCAAGAGTCGCTTTTATAACCTACCGTTGGCTGGAAACTGAGTTGCGTGCTGGGAGTACGCAAAATAAAAGTTATTGTCTGCTCTCTGTTTCGGAAAAAGACCTGTGCTACCAACAAATATGCAGTGAGTTAACAGTTGGCAAGGAATATATTTGTGAAGAATCAGCTAAACGGAAAATCGTTCTAACATAAGACAACAATGCAAAAGCTATTGAGCGAAATAGACATCTCTGCAAATCAATATTATTATTGTTAACTCCTTCAGCCTGTCTGCTTGTGTTCTGATACTTTGGCTAACTGGTATCGGCTGCTGCTGATCTGCATTATTTTATTGCATGATTATTTATTGGATGAATCAGCGGATACTTAAATAAACCTTTCTCTGAGCCACCTCCTTAGACCTATTGCAATTATGTTCATGTCATAAAGGCTCTCGGAGGTGTGTCTTTTCTATAAATTTTATTAGTTGGTCTGGTCTGGGTTTCAACCCAAGATCCCACAGCTGTTGATATATACTGCTAACAGCTCGGCAACCAAATTATGTGTTACCTCCAAGTTGCGGAGAGTTCCGAATGTAAACATACCCATTTTTACAGTTATCAATCGTCAATTGTATATAAAAAATTGTCTTTAAGTGGTGTTATTTAGATGTCAAATTTGTCATTTGACATATAAAAGATATGACTGTAATAAAAATAGCTCATTTGACTGATGAGACTCATTTCTACCACGATGTCCACATCAGTAAGCGAAACTGTCACAACTGTGGCTAAGAAAACCAAAGATTTATTGCTTAAAATCCCCTCCATTCTCAACATATAACTGTTGGTGGAATTTATGGTCCAGTGGCGTCATTGAATCTTACTTTTTTGAAAATGAATTGAAATGGATTGCGATATAATGATGATAATTAATCATTTTTTATTGCCGGAATTGGCGCTACGTACCACAAAAGCAACGAAACCATTGATATTTCAAGGGAAAAGTCTCCGAACCGTGGTATCTAACGAAGAGAAGATCGCCATTGGCCACCAAGATCTTAGGCTTTCACACCTTCCGATTTCATTTAGGGAAAGGCAAGGCCTAAGCCAACAGCCCAATATCGATTCAAGACCGATTCAAGTCCTCAAAAATGGAATGGTGAATCAATTGAGGGCATACAGGAGCCACTCTTGGTCTTGCAAGAGTAGCTGCAGCGGACATTTTGCTGATGTTATTCTCCATTATATATGGATATATAGACATATGCTTGTGAGCCACTTCCAAACTGCATAGATTCACATCCAAAGCAGTCCAACAGTTTGAAAATTTACAATGCTATAAGGAAATGGTTGGCAACTCTATCAATATTTTATCAACAACTCAGCTGCTATTTTGGTTAGCGAAGCAAAACAGAACAGAATTCCAGATGAGATAAAATCGCTGACTGACTGATACAAACAAACAAAGTTAATGGGAAAAGAAGAGAGCGCACTAAGCTACATGCATAACACACGCAAACACATTCAAATAACTGTACATACTTCGCCATTTATACCTTTGGCTCCTCTTGAGCTTTAACGCTCACTGTTTACTACTAACGGCTGTGGCAGCGGCTGCGGCTGTGGCTGTATATTGTATTGTATAGTTATTTCATAGAGCCGAACAGGATCACGACAAGACACACGAATACGCTCGCCCAACAATCGTTTTAGCTGCTGCTACGGCAGCTGCTGGACGCACCCTGATTTTTCTTCGTGATGTAAGTTCTGGGGCAGTCGGTCTTTGCATATTCGTTGTTTCAAACACCAACGGCTGGTCGTGCGCTCAAATTAAGTGTAGAAAAAAGTTTCATGGAAAAAAATTTTACATTTTGCAAAGAAAAATTGAGTTTACAATGAAAAAATATGGATAATTGTAATTGTAGTGCAAGTAAAGGCGTAGATTTTAGTTAATTTTTCTACTACGACAATGAAAAAAGTAAATAAAAGCAAAAAAAAAATGATATATTTATGTATATACATATGTATGTGCAAATGCACATATAGAGATTGTGCAAAAAATCATTGAATGTAGAATTTTCATCAAAAAAAAAAGTGAACTTCCCACGTTGAAGTGTGGAAAATTACAGAAAAATATGTGAAATTTCGGGAGAATATAAAATTATTTGGATTTCAAATTACGGCCAAAAATTAGCCAACCAAAATTGAAGAAAAAAATAATAAAATTAAATAAAAATTAAAGCGATAATTTGCGAAAAAAAGTGTGTCCACTGAGCGCTAAGAATTGCAAAAATTGAAATACGATAATTTTAATAAAATAATGTACAACGAAAGATGGGCGTTTCTGATGCGGCACTAAAAAAATTTTCACTGATTTTGAAAAAATTTAACAAATAAAATATTTTTATTTTTTTTTTAGCAAAAAGTTAAGCCTTATTTTGAAGAAAAAAAGACAAATGATGGCACACACAAGGCTCTGCATATGCTCAGCCATATGTATTTTTGCAGAGCCATAAAAATTCTATCTAATAACTCCTATCCGCCGTTTTACCTTACAGACAGACAAAGCTAATTTTCGCTGTTGATTTAATTGAAGGCAAATAACAAAGAAATGCAAAGTTATATGTTACTGAATTTAGGTAGTTTTTACTAAAATATGAATGTACTTGTCTCTCTGTATGTGTGCGTGTGAGTTACAAAGGTTTGCTTCGTTTTATACTGCATTGTCGATCGGTTTTTGGCAAAAATATTCCAACCAGATGTAGCCCAAGTCGAAGTATCTGCACATATTATATTTACATACATATTTATATACGTGTATGTATATATATTTGTGCTAACTTGCACATACAAGCCTATTTATCAAAATATATATGTGTATGCATTTCTGTGTATATATATGTATGTATGAGTAAATATTTTCCAAATCACAAAGCAATGCACACCTTTGTACGAAAACCATTTTGCAAACGCTCACACTCACACACATGCACACATACCGAGGCGTACGTTTATATGTATAGAGGTGCAGGTTTTGTCGTTCGAAAATCTCAAAAAGCCAAAAAGCACGTTATACTCAATGACAACCAGAGTGTAGCTCTCCAAATTCACACTCGGCAGGTACTCATTCGGGTCACAGCAGTTGCAGCTTTTACACTTATTTATTTCCTTCGCACTTTGTGCAGCAAACCTGCCTTTTAGCTTCTACGTTGCTCTTTGCAGGCATTTGTTTTTTTTTTTATTTGCTTTACTTACCAGTTTTACTTTGGCTATTTTGTTGTTGTTTTTATATATATATATATTTTTTTTGTCTGCATCGGCGGCGACATTAAATGTTTCCTTAGGTTCATTCAGGTTTAAAGGCATACTTGTACATATGGGCGCACACTTACACTAATACCCTCTTGCATACATACACGTACATCCATACAAAAATCATACACAGTTCCATTCACGTACGTACAAAACGCTAAGGCATACAAACGTCCAACTTGTAGGCACTGTTTACTAATCAAGTGTTTGTATGTAAATACTTGTGTGTGTATGTAGACTCAGATTCACGTATTTACATTTATGCATACATATAAACACATATTATATATCCTTTGGGCTTTTGCTATTTCGCTCGATCTAAGTGTGTTTGTTTGTGCATGGTGCAGCCAACAATCGGCTGACATCGGTGACGGCCTCTTTTCTTTCGGAAGACATAAAATTTTACTCCGCCGCGCAATCAAACTCTCAATTGTTTGGAAGTCAGCCAAAGTGAGAAGTAAAGCAACGAATTTCACATTTACATTCGCACGTTTATTACTATTTCTTTGTTCATCTTGTTTAAATAGCGAAATATTTAAAATGATTTTTTGAATAAAATTTAAAAATGAAACTCAGATTTGAAATTTTTTACGTATTCATTATTTTATGAAAATAATTGATTATGTTGGAACTTTTTTGCATTGAAAAGTTATGTGAAAACCACGAACAAATATTATTCAGGCACTGAATCTTCTAAGGAACCATTTAAGCGTAAAAATGAGCCTAAAAATTTGTATGTCAATAAAAAAATATAAAATAAATAATTATATTTATTAAACTCTGCTGATAGCGAAAATAAATAAAATTATATATACAATATAAAAAATTTAGAAGTCTGTCTTACATAAACCCAAGATATTTGCGAATTTTTTTCGGACAAACACTTGAGACCTGAAATTAAAATCGGTTGCATACTTTTAGGCTGCTTTTTTACACATTATTGAAATATTTAAGTCCAGTTCACATTTGAGTTGTTCAAGAATTGTTATTAATTCAGGTGTTTTTTTAGTTCTTAATAATAATAATTAGTTTATTTGGTTTGGAGATGGGACTCCAGATATAGCTAGCTACCCCACCTCCTGAGAACTTTAACGCTTGGAAACGAGCTACATTCTATATTAAATTAATCAATCTCTCTAGTCACTGGCGGATATTTCGTAGTTTGTAATTATTTCCCTGCGAATCGTCCGCCTTTTAGCTTCACCAATGCTCAGCGTTAACCTCACATTATTAAGACTGAGAAGGAAAATCGCCCTTGCCGTCGGAAGAATCGATATTCAGATAATCAGAAAATATTTGAATGAATGGAACCATTCACTGGAGTTATACAATTTGTAATTGTTGAACTTATGACGCGAGTTCTCTTAGCATTGCATTCTTAAATGGGTTTTTTGTCTCACATGACTTTACTCGGCAATATCTTTGCAATACCTGCTACCACGCGGAGAGTCATAGATTCAAATTATAGACAAAGCGCCAAAAAAAATAGTCAAACATCTTCTACTTCGCCACTTTCAATCTACTACATTTGCGCATAGAAAATTTACCACTTTAAATTAAATTTTATCTCTTAATTATAGTGTAAGAGTTTTCAAAAACCACTTCTGTTCCTTTTTTCTTTTTTTTTTTTAAATAATATAATAAAAGTTCCGCTGAAAACTTCAAAGTGAATTCAGCAAATAAATAGTTTCCGTGTTATTTACAAATAAAAATGCCTTCAAATGCGCTCAAATATGCTTAGCAAAATTTTGAATTCTCTTTTCTTTTTAAAAATTATGTTTTTTGAACTGTTAATCGCTGAAAATCGAAAACGACTCAGGGTATTTCAATGCTTTTCAAAAAAAAAAAACTAGTACCTGATCGAATGAAGGATTTTTTTCTATTTTTAAATGTCTTTATTTAACAAACATTTAATTATTTTTATTCGAATATCAAAATAAAAGTTTCTAGGAATGGGCTTTAATATTTTCAAGCTTATACCAGGCAATATATTGAAAAAAAAAATATTAAAAAAAATAATTTATATGTTTTAGTCCGATTGATTTGAGATTAATATCCAAGAATATCCAATGGTCCACACAAAGTATTTTTTTTTTTTTTTTTTTGAAATTATTTAAATAAAACACCTCATTGCTTTTAAATTTTTAATTCTTTTCTAATTTTTGGGAAGAAGAAAATAAATTGAAAAAAACCAAGTTTTTTTATGCCTCTGACCCTTGACATAGAAGACTTGTTTTTCTTGCTGATTTCTTACAAGGCAAAGCACCAATTTCTGTTCAATTTTGTATGAGCAAAAAGAGATATTTTGAAAATATTCCTCTATATTTTATGAGATAAATTTGTGAGCTTTATATACTAATGCTAATTATTAGAAAATGTTAGAAAAAGTTGAAAAATCAAAAACAATCAAAAATTTATAATTAAAGAAATCAGGTACATAATCAAGTTAAAAAGAAATTGAGATTCCTTAGCTCACAGATTTGAAAGTTCAACTCTGTTTATTAGAAACTAAAAGAAAAGTTCTGTATTTCAAAAACTTCAAAAAATATCTAAGAAAATTAGAATCCATAGAAGTAGCTTTAGCTGCTTTTTCCTTTGAAGTTTTTCTACTTTATCAGTTAGTTTTGCATTAGATTGCATTAAAGGCTTTATTTACCATAGTTAGAATTCTCCGACTTATTAAAAATGTACAATATTCTGCTCGCAATGCTCTTTGCCATTTATAAGTTAATGCCATTTTCCATCTCTCATAGAAACCACCGATCTTCACAGGCTTCTCTCGAGGCTTTTTTTGCGCCAGCCAAATCATTCATAATGAAGAGGAGCTGTTGGTATAAGAACCTCTGAACTAAGTTCGCGAAGTTTCGGGCGCGGCAGTATCGATGTGCGTGCACTGGCGTTATTTAGATGAAAAACAATTCCTGACCTGTTGGCCAACAGTAGGCACTTTTTAACGCTTCCTTCAGACGATCTACTATTGAAAGTACAAATCCAAATTTAGAGTTCGACGATGGGCGAGAAACTCTTAGTAAATAATTTCTTGCCAACCATAATAAACACGCAACAAATCCGGCTTGAAGACTATTTTTGCAGATGCCTATCCGAACTATCTACTATAATAAAATATTTTACTCAACAAAAAATTTCCACTAAAAAACGAAATCACTTACTGAACGACTCAATATTAAATATTAAAAAAAAATTTTTAAATTACATATATTTCAAAAAAGTCGCTCATTTTACTGCAAATGCAACTTAGGTTAAAAAAAAAATTCAGTCCCTTTTTTAAATTTATCTACAGTACTTAACAGAGTATATTATTTTATGGTCAATATTTCTTCCACGCCAACTCCTTTTATTTTCTGTATTATGTATATATATATATTTATTGTTCTTCACTAAATTTTTGTAGCCGAGGGCTTTAGTATAGCAAAAAACAGGGTCTTAATTGTTAAAAAAAAAATTCTGTTTTACTCATTGATACCTTGAAGTCTACTTTAATCCCACGCAACAAATCTAAACACATTAATCTACCCTTAAAATAATGAAATAAACAGGAAAAATTTAAAGAAGAAGTAAGATTTGAGCTTAAACTAAAATTCGATAACTAATATATTGAAGAACTTTATGGTAAAGGGATATACACAACGACTTTATTGTTTTTAA